ACGATACATATCATGACAGAGGGGTCACGATACGATATATCCCGATACTGTAAGCAAGGTGATATATTGCGATTTTTTTTGTCCAAAAATTATATTAAATAAAAACCTCTTACTTGGAAAAAAAATGAAAAACCAAAATTCATTGTCTCATAAAATTCTATTACATAGACATACTTTTGATACATCTAGCTGTTTGTTTGTATTTTTGTATGTATTTTATTTTATTTCTTTCATATTTCTTATTTCAAACATGTTTTCAATTATTAGACTAAATTTYCCAATAAATAGTTTGAAAATATATTTTTGCAGCTTTTAGTTTTTAATATTAATTTACAGTATGGTCACCAAACACTTAAACTATAGCCTTTATGTTGTCATAAAGTTCAGTAAACAGATGATATGAAGCTGCTGCACAGAGTTTCTGGGATCAGCTGACCTGCATCCAGAAAGTGATTTGCAGAACTGTGGGTCGAACWGCAGGGCAGGTCCCGTAAATAAACAGTAAATAAATGGAGAYGCTAAACAACACAGTTAAACCGTTTTTGAAGCGAACACAGCAATATAAACTTAAAGTATATGGACTTTGATGCAGTCATCAGCCGGACATTGAGAGCAACAGACAGAGTTTTATGTCACGGGGGGAGTGCTGAGTTCGAGGCGTTAGACGCATGCGCTAGCCTTCTGTAACGTGAAAGCTGAATAAAGTTGGAAAAAAGAGCGCACGAGACACTTAATTTGGTTTAAAATACAGACATTCTGACAAATAAGTAACCTTACCTCAGCTTAGAAGGCAGAGGGTGTCGGTCTTTTCCGCTCAGATTCAGCTATCGGTGCATGAAGCTAATGTTTACTCACAATGCTAATGCTACCGCTACTCTCTCTTGCTCAAGAGGTAGAGGAGCCAAATGGCTGGCTCACTGCTGCCAACTAGTGGTCAGAGGCTGAACTACAACATAAAAATGAACGGCTGGCAGGAAAGTTGACATTTTAAACCTTAATTAAAAATCGAGGGCTTTAGAATATCGATAAAGTATCGGGAAATGCAATATTGCACTATTTCAGTGTATCAATATTTTCTTACAACCCTAATAAATAGCATAAAAGCTTAGTTTTCAATTTTATTATGAACAATACTGTTCTATCATAATACTCACAGACATGTTAAATAGTTTGCTTGCCTTTTATTAGTCTGTAAGAAAATTTGTTAGGACTGAAACCATGCAAACTCGACTTATTAGTCCATCTCAGTATTTTTGAGCATTGTAATTGCTTAGGACATTTTTAATAAAAACAATATATAAGTGTGAGGTTTATAG